TTTGACTCTAAGGCTCACTTAGGTCTAACTCTAAGCTAGTACGTGGATCCTGTATTGATTTAGTGATTTTTATTCTGGGATATTTGGAAAGTAAGGCAATAGATATCTTCTTCCACTTTTCATAATATACAGAAAAGGATTTAAAAAATATAACAAAATATATATGTGTTAAAGATATATGAAAATTATATTTGTTCAGTTCCTACGCTTTAAATATAATAATAAAAATAAATATAATATAAAATTAAAATAAATATAAAAAATAAATTCATTTGAATATTTACACCAAAGTACACAAAGAGAAATTATTTGTAAGAGTTTTCCAATTAACAACGAAGGAAGCAGATATAAAATATATTAAAATTAATGTATTTGATCTAAGATATAAAAAGATATTTTAAAAATATATGTAATTCATTAAGCATTCGTATTTTAAGTCCAAGTTTTATTTACCCTTTCCAGCTTTTTTCTCAAATAGCCAACCCATTCTATTCTTTGGTAGAGCATTCGATTTTGGTTTCTAAAAACTTTTTTTCTTATAAAAATCTGTCTCTGTCTTAGTCCGCTGTTAACTTCATTTTGCATGCTTTATTTTGTTGTTGTTGTTGGTTATATTAAGATTAATGATGCCCAGTCAGATTAAATTATAATCGCTGCAGTTGGACAGCAATGCACACACACACCCACACACATTTCCCCCCTGGCAAAGGTTTTTTTTTAATCACTTAGAGCTAGAACATTTGCATAATGAAAAAACAACAGCAACAACAAAAGCAGACGATGTAAACATAATAGAAACCCGAAATGCCATTGTCTTCGTTTTACTTAGCACTTCAAAGGCAACTGGAAATTGTTTTTTTTTTTTTTTTTTTTTTTTTTCACAACTGAAAGCCGATTTGGCATTGTTGCTTGGATTATGGTATAATGGGTTGGCAAGTTATTTATTTATTTGTTGTTCATTTTGTGATTCTACTTCGTCTTCTTGCAGATGTCAACATGGTGGCCGAGCCGAAGGCGCATCAAATTGGCAGAAAGCGTCAGAATGTCAGCAAAACGGGCAACGATTGGTGAGTAAAAAAAAAAAAAAAAACAACCAGAAAACAAATAACCAAAAAAGAAAATTATAAAAACAATTTCATGCTAGAGTTGATTTTTAATTTAAATAAATGCAAGTTCCTTTGCTCAATTGAATGCCATGTGACGCTCATTAAGCGTTTATTTACATATCATTTAACGTGGGACTAGGCTGAAAGTTTCATTTGTTTTTTGAGGGGCTTTGTGAGTGTGTGGATGTTCTTTTTTTTGAGTGGGGGTGTGCGATAGCCGCACAAATAAATAAATAAATAAGGCGCCATCCATCAGCACATGGACATGGACGTGTTTGCAGTCCTATTCGTATTCGTATTCGTATCCTTTGTTGCTGCCACACATCACATAAAATATATTTGGGCTGTCAACGCGTTGCGAGAGTTTTTGTGCACGCTCATGATGTGTGCAGGATGGGCGTATTGGTTTTGGGGGTGGTTTGCCTTTTGACTGTGTGAAAGCTAAACATATTTAACATGAGATTTGAGCCTGGAAGTCCATACTTAAGAATAGATTTGTCTAGATATCTAATATTTTGACTACATATGTTCATGAACATGCATGAACATGGAAATATGATAAGTAGGGGAACGTACGCGCTATGCACTCGACAGCTAGCATAAAATAAATAACATATGTCTCAAGTGTGAACTGTCAAACTGGGCATACATTATGACCCTGACCCTTAGCGATTAGAATACGTAAGAGGCGAGCGCTGAGCATTACAAACTCAGCGATAGCATAAGAATAGCTAATAAGCCAACGCGGAGCCTTACAACCTCAGCGATAGGATAAGAATAGATAATAGAACCACGCGGAGCCTTACAAACTCTGCGATAAGATAAGAACATGCAATAGACCAATGCTGAGCCTTACACACTCAGCAATAGACGCACTAGATTTAAGGGTTGAAATTATGCATGAGTCTGGGTATATAAACCCAGGCTCAGAAGAATAAAGATCAATACGAAACTAAACACCATCATAGTCAAGTGTATTCGTTCAACATATCTTTAAAGGCTCTACAGCTCATTTTTATTATAACAACAAAATCTAGTTCATTATAATTATCGAAAGGTGTTGGAAGGTCGTGGGTTATGCAGTTAGAGCTGTTAATCTCCTTCATTGATAAGTCAATTTATTCACATACCTTGATATTTCAGCCTTTTAACCATGAGCGAGCATTGCGCAGTCAGTCACAATCAATTGTTCTCATTTGTGGGTTTTTGTTTCTGTGACACCAACTCCTGCTCCGTCTGCCGTCTGAGTCAACGTCTCGATGCTCGATGTCTGCGCCTGTGTCTGGGTCAGTTGTGTGTTGTGTTTCGAGTGCTGCACACACACACACACACACAGATAGCAAACTGTGAAAATGTGAAACTGTGAAATAAAAAACACACAAAAAAACAAAATGGGAACTGCCTGTGAGTGACAGCTGCAATGTATGCTATAATATCCTGGCCATGGCTCTGGCTCTGGCTCTGGCTCTGGCTCTGACTCTGACTCTGGCTGTGGCTCTGTGGCTGTTAGTCCTGGCGCTGACATGTGCACTTGTTTGTCCCTGGCGCGGCCTTAATGATGACTGAGCGAGTGAGCCAGCGAGCCGACACATACAACTTATATACAAGTATATGTACATACATATATATATTTATATATGATTTTTTTTTGGCTCGATGTCGACTTGCTACTCGTGTGGAAATATTTAATTTAAGCTTAATGACGCCGAAAAGGAAGTGCGTTAGGGTTTTAAAGGGCAACCCACACACACACATACACACACACATGCACACAGGTTGACTTGATTGTAATTAAAACGCAAACAGCTCGTCCCTCTCACTCAGGTGGTTGCAGGCGGCTCGTGTTTGTCATTTAAATGCCTCCTGCTCAGTCCATTGACCGCACACAAACTGACCATAAAAGCCACAATTGTTGTCGCCCCCCCTCGCCCCCTCGCACTGCCGTACGGGCGATATGAGAACCGTTCGAATATTGAACCACAAACGGCAGAGCTGCCTGCAAATTGTATCAATCAGTCACAGGGCGGACGTGTGTGTGCGGGGTAGGTGGGCGTGGCACATAATTGGCAAATGGCAATTGAAAGGACGTTACGGTCACCGAATGAGACCTAAGCAAATATTGACCAGCGGTCAGGCTGATAGGCCAAACCAGACAGACGGACAGACGGGCAACAGTTGGCGTGCTGTTTGCACTCACTCTGCTTCTTCTTCTTTAATTTTTGGGGTGGACACTTCAATTACAGTGCCACAACTAATGAGGCTGTCACAACTCTCGTCACTTGTGTCTTGCAGGGACTACTTCTATGACAGCTATTGCTCGTCGGCGCTGCTGCGCGGCGGCGGAGGCGGCGGCAACGTCAACGGCGTGCGTGCCAAGAAGCGCAAGCGCTTGATGACCAACAACAATGGCCTAACGGCTGCCGTGCAGCAGCAGCAGCACAGCCAGCATCATCACAGCGCTGCAGCCGTGGCCGCTGCAGCAGCAGCTGCCGCGGTGCATCACCAGCAGCAGGCGGTACAGCAGCAGCAGCAGCAGGTGCAGCAGCAACATCAGCAACAGCAGCAACAGCAGCAGCAGCAGCAGCAGCAACAGCAGCAGCAACATCATCATCATCATCAGCAGCAAGTTGCTGCTGTTGCCATGGCAGCGATGGCCAATTTGTTGCCACAGCAGCAGCTGTTGCTGCATCAGCAAAATTTGCTATCGACAGCTGCAGCGGCGGCGGCAGCAACAACAGCAGCGCCCGGTGCACTGCACTGGTCACAATACAAACAGGACCCACAGCAACAGCAACAGCAACATCAACAGCAACAACAACAACAGCAGCAACAGCAACAGCAGCAGCAGCAGCAACAACAGCAACAGCAACAACAGCAACAGCAATTTGTTGCCGCTGCCACAGGTTTCCAGTTGAAGAGCGTTATTGCCGGGCAGTCAACGACTTCGCCACAGAATGCAAAGTCAGCAATAATTGCTAATCAAACAGCGCTCGTGGAGCAGTACGGTGCCTTTTCCCAACAGCCGTCGCATCACCAGCAACAACAACAGCAGCAGCAACAGCAGCAACAACAACAACAGCAACAATTGGGCTGCCTGCTGCAGCCATTGACTTTGGCATTGTCCCCACAGCAACCGCAGCCGCTACAATTGCACAGCCAAATGATGCAGCAACAGTATCAACAACAGCACCAGCACCAGCAACACCAACAACAACAACATCAGCATCTACAACAGCATCAACATCAGCATCCACAGCAGCAGCAGCACCACCAGCAGCAGCAGCAGCAACATGCACAGGAGCAATTAAGCTTGCATCAACACTGGGGACCATTCAAAGTCTACAGTGAGTATTGACTTGATTTGTTTGCATTGTTTTTGTGTTTCGGTTCGCCATTTGCATTGGCAATTTAAGATTTATGCATTGATTAACAATAAGTTAGAATTGCTTGTTAAGCTTTAAATAAACTACAGCTATGAACAAGATTAAGTCTAGAAGTTGCTGAGTAAGATGGGAAAAGTGATTGGAATATGAGTGTAAACAATGAAATATAAATGAATACATATATATACACGAGATATGAGTGAGCTTGGCTAACGTTAGCTCTAACAAATATACCCTGTATTCGTGAAAAAAATGTTTTTGTTTTTATTATTTTTGAATGGGTCAGCTTAAGCTCCGATTATCAAATTTAAGTTAAACTAATAATTAAGCAAATATCAATAAGTCGTGTACAACAACTTTAGCTTAACCATAGTATAGGGTATAACCATAGTATAGGGTATATTCAAGTCATGCAATAGATGTGATATATATTAAGGAACCACTCTGCTTTAACCCAAGCAACATTTTATGCAGCTTACAGCGTATCTTCTAGCCTAGCATCTCTTATAAGCCATTTTTCAATCAGCTCTAGCTTAGTTAAGCTTATCAAAAAAAAATGCCGCCTGATGACATTGAGACGCTCGTGTCTCTGAATCAGGGAAATGTGTGAAAATCTGCGACTCGGCGCCCATAGATATCACTTCGTTCTCATCATCTCCAGCCTACTTCGAGTTGTGGCAGCCGACGCGGCAGCGGCCCCATTGCAGTCGGCTTTGCCGCAAATCCATCCGCTGGCGGTGCTCGAGCAGCCGCGTAAATTGCCGACGGGCTACCTGAACGGCGTGTTGAGCCTGAAGCAGCGGCTCTTGGCCAACAACGTGCAGCTGCGACCGCCCTTCACGCCCAACAACCAACAGCAGAGCTTTCGTGAGGTCATCTCTGATCTGAATTTGGGACATGATATGAATGCCATACCGCCGAATGTGATGACGCCAGATCAGTTGCATCAGCAGCTGCAGCAGCTGGAGGTCGATCTGCATCATCAGGACACTCAGCTGCAGCAGCGGGAAAAGCAGCTGGCAGCGCAAGTTGCTTCCGGACAGCTTCAGCAACAGCAGCAGCCACAGCAGCAGCAGCAACAGCAACAGCAGCAACCGCAACAGCAGCAACAGCAGCAACAGCAAATGCTTGAGCCAGTTAAAATGCAATTCGAGCTAACTTCGGGCAATCAGCCACAGTTACAGTTGCAGATACAGGACCAGCCCGTGCGGGACTCGCAAACGGACGCCGAGTCAACTTATGACACCAAAATGCAATTGCTGCAGCAGCTAGCTGACTCCCTTACCCGGCAGCAACAGCAGCAGCCGCAACAACAGTTGCCACAGCAACAGCAGTCGCTGCGCACGAATGTGGCGCAACTGTCGCCTTCTGATCCGGCGGCCGGAGCAGAGGAGGAAACATGTTCCGAAGAATGCGCAACAACGGATAGGGATGTTGAAGATGATGAGGAAGATGACGAAGATAAATGTGACAACACGACGCTGGAGCCCACCCAGTGCACCCAAGCAAACGCAACGCAAGCCGGAAAAGCAACAACCCCGCAAGTCGAGTCGTTGACCATTCGCGTGGACCCCAACAGAAACCTAACGAAGACCACGGCGCAGCCGAAGACCACAGCTGCAGCGGGGAAGCAAACGAAGCCACAGTCAACTGCTCCCACCAAGTTGCCGTTCGCCAAGACGACCAAGAGCAAAAAGGCTAAGAAGCCATGTTGCATCAAGCCAGCAAAGAAACCACGCAACAGCCTTTCGCAAAATCTGAGAAAAGTCTGGCAGGAGCCGAAGCAGCGCATTGATCGAGCTTCGCCGAGCGATAAAGCGAATCTGCGCATCGATGCCATTGCAACATGGTTGCAATATCGCAAAATGCACAGCAAGGATGCTCTGAGGCCGAACAGGGCGACGCGACAGCAAAGAGATAAGAGACTAGAAGTAAAGAAGTCGAAAAAATGTCAGATTTGGGCCAAAAAGAAGCCGCGCAAGCAACGAGGCGTTGTCGATAGGAAGCAGGTGCTGCAGGCGGAGACCAAACTGTGGCCCCTAAAGGGCTCCCATTGAGGGAGTCTACTCAATTTTCATATGCCATAAATATATATATATATTTTTATAAATGAAAGAAATTTGAAGAGATTAGTAGTCAACGAAAGAAATTGGCGAAAGATAAGAAATTGGGGATAGATAAGGGCAGACTAGAAATTGGGGAAGTAAAAGTAGATTAGAACTTCAATTAAATGATATAAAGTTTGTCAGGTAAATAAATTTCTTAGATTATGCAGCTAAATATAACCATAGACAGTTACGTGCTATCAAATTTCTTTTTTGGTAGCAACAAATTCATTAAAATTATATATGGCTAGCTTTATTGTAAGCCGAGCTATGTTTTATTTAACATGCGTTTTATGTAAATGACAACATTTGCAGAGCGGATAAATATCTGATTTCATTGTAAGCTTATACTTCTGTTCTGTAGATATATGTAGGTATCAAAAGAGCCTGGTACGTCATGGTAGCCATTCTACAAAGCAGATAGTTTTTAAACCTCACTGTAAGCTTAGCTGATAGGTACTCTACTTCATTTTAAACTAATCAGATAGATATTTTACTAAATTGCAAGTTTAGCAGATAGGTACTACGGCGTTTTGTGCGTTTAGCGAATTGGCGGTAAACCTCGTTGTAAATTCCGAAATAACCTCATTTTAAACTGTGCTATTATATATTTTTATTCACTGTATGTTAATCATGTACACATATACCTTACTCTATGCTAAGCAGATTATAACTCTACCTCATTGTAAATTTAAGAGATAATTATTTTGCCTCACAGTAAGTTTAGTAGATGATACTCAACTTAATTATAACCCTTGTCCATAATGTATCTCATGTAGCAATAATAATTACGCTGGACTTTGAGCATTTAATATACTATATCAAATCAACCAACCAAATTTATTATTAGCTCATTCTCTTCTATGTTCCGTCAGTTCAATTTGTACAAAAATTCCAACCACTCAGACCTAGTCATAATTACTTTGCTTATAGCTCTGTCAGTTGCATCATTGTTATTTTTAGCAGCCGCATGTGAATAATTGCATTAAAGTGCATATTTTATGGGTCATATTCTCTTTCTATTGTAGGCAATCCGGACACATTAATCTGCGGCAACTGCCGGGAATGCTTCAGTGAGCTGTCTGAGTTATTGGACCACAAGAAAAGTTACTGCAAACTGAGGTTCACATGCAAGTGCCAGGACGTGGCCTTTGCAGCGAGTAAGTCCTACGATTCTTTGCTCTTTACACTGAGAGGGGCTGGCATGAAGAGTGTTGGGGCGGGGCCGGCTATGTCGGCAATTAATTTATGATTGTTAAACACATTTTGTGCTCCATGGCCATGTGGGTTTCGTCGTAGGGGTGGGAGAGGCTTGCGCCGCTGCTGGTTGCGAGTCAGCAACATCTGTCTGGCGTTTCATTTAAAATTGAGTTATTTATGCGACTTAGCCCGGCCCAGACCCAACTTAAATAACTAATTAATTCTTGCATGTTTCATCCGTTCACGCACACATAGAGACGCCGCCAACGAGCGCCAAATTGCTTTGCGCCGTTTGCAAGGATGCGTTCGCCAATCCCTGGGACTTGATGGTCCACGCGCAGGCCGCACACATGGTTAACATTTACGAGCTCGGCGATGAGGTCACCAATTCGACCAACGGCAATCGCAGCCCCAACAACAGCAATGCAAGCGATGCGACCAATGGACATGCTGCTGCTGCTGCTACCGCTGCAGCTGCAACTGTTGTTGCCGATGATGAGGCAACAGCCATAACAAAGCACATGCCAACGTCAGCAACACTTAACATGGAGCCAAATAACAATAACAAAATTAGCAACAATAACAACAACAACAACAACAGCACAAACATCAACAACAACATCAATGGGCACAGCTCACCCATAGCCCACAGCAACAACAACAACAACGGCAGCAACATTGCTGCTGCCACTGCCATGGATGTTGCTGCTGATGCTGACATTGACGCCGATGCTGCTGCTGCTGTTGCCGCTGCCGCTGCTGGCGTCGCAGCTGTGGTCGCTAACGATGGACACGTCAGCGGCAGCGATACGGAGACCCATTGCATGGACAGCGGCCTCTGTGCCAGTCCCAAGGAGGTGCGTCTGCTGCCACCAACTGTTGCCACATTTGCTGTAGCCAAGAAAAAACTTTTCTCTTTGCAGGATCAGCAGCGCGATGATCTGTCGCTGGACGGACGGCTATCCAGCAGCTCGCAGACCCATCACTCGGATGACCTCAATGTGAATATCAAGCTGATTAACGGTTCCGTGTCCTCGCGCGGCAGCTCGCCCGGCCTAGAGGCGGATGAGCCGCCGGCAACGCGCGCCTGCATTGTGCGCACCCTGAGCATTGTGAGTATGGGTTGGGTTGAGATTAAAGATGAAGATATGCTTCATATGTGAAAAATCGAATTATCGATTAAGACTGGCGATTTATTAGATCTGAATCTGAGAGATAATGTTAGCTAGGGAGATAAAAGTATATAGGGCTTTACCTTTGAGCATATAAAATATAATTATATACAAGAAATATAATATAATATAAAATATATACATGTGCATCCGTTTGTGCTAGAATAATATCGATAAACATATGAATTATTGGAGAGCTCTTAAATACAGTTCCGTTAATAATCTGAATTATTATATAAGCACGGGAGGCTGCTACTATAACTTTCTACAAGGCAGTACCTAGTCGTCTACTATCATTTTTATCCACCATAAGATAATTTTGTAATCAAATTGAATCTCTAAATTAACAGGACTGTTTCTAGTCTGAGACTTTTTACTATATTTATCTTCTAGTAATATATTTTCAAATTAACTTTTCATTTCATATTCTATTTTATTTTTTTACCTTTCCAGGAGGCGGCTGCTGCTACAGCCACGCCCACTGCGAACGCCTTGAGCCTGATGTCGAACGGGCTCAGCTTGGCGCTGGCTCCGCAATAAGTCGAATCTCGTCAATCTATCTATCAATCTGGACTAAAGCAGAATCAAAAGCGTGGCAAGGGAAACGTTTAATGCAGCTAATTTAGCTATTAAGAATGTTTTAAGTAGTGTGGGAAGTAAGAGAGGAGTGTTTGAAGAGTATTAAAAATACTCGAGTGGCTTTTGGCTTGTGTGTATTGGGAAATGTAATCGTGAGTGCGATGCAAGTGCAATTTATTCAGTATTTTTGTACTAGAGACTTAAACTGAACAAAGTTAAAACAGAATAAATAAATAAATAAATAAATATAAAGTTAAAAACGAAATGAACGTAAATTACAACAAACATATCATTTTAACTAGGCAACTAGGTATTACAGTAGCTATAACAAGTATAACTAATTAAATAATATATGTACTATAAATATAAAGATATATAGATATATCGCTTATCGTGTCTGTATTTTGTTTTGCTTAGCATATTTTTGGGTTTCAAAACTGCATATGAGAACATATAGGTAAAAGAAAATGGTAAAAAAAGGTCAAATAGCAAAAAACAGTCCTTAAAAGAGAGCTTTGTATATAGATAAAAGATAACCGATCACCGATAACCGATAACAGTTAAAGGAAACGTAATTACTCAATTATAATTAGCTGACAGAAACAACCCAAAAACTTATATTTTATATATGAAAACATAATTAAACTAATATTTATTGCATACGTACATATATCTATACTTAACAAGCCAACCAATATTATTATTCAAAATACGTACCATGTGTATCAAATGTAGCATAGTGAAAAAAAAAACAACAGGTGTTTCATAAACAAGAGGAAAAAAATCGAGAACCTTTGCAAATGTTCCCAGCAAAAATAATAAGGCTTAAAACTTACATAATTGAATTAATATTTAATATTAAAATACACACACACACACACATGTGTACTATATCGAATGTAGCTGCTGTGTAAATAGTTTATATATATATATATATAAATATGAAAAAAAAAAATTATTGTTAACAGTAACAACATTCAATTCAGTGTCCTCCAGCTAAACATGTAAACAGGCCATAACAAAACCAAAAAAGAAATGTATTTAATAAATGAATATTATTAAAAAATAATAGCAAGAAAATTTATTTGTATGTTTATAATTTAGTTTTTATTTAATTTAAATTACTTCAACTTCTCTGGGGACCAAGTGAAAGTTCGCCTAACGCATTTGAAATTCTATTTTGGCAAAGCTCATTAAAATAAATGATGATCAACTGCAACACACGACGCAAACAAGACAGGCACAACAAGGACACTGCAAACATTGTTGAAAGCAAAGCGCACGTTAATGAAAAGCGCCAACAAAAGGTGAGGCGAGGTAGTGCCCCCCCACCTCCCGCCCCTTACTCTGCTGCTTGACAAACTTTTGGGCACACAATGCTGAAAATGCAGTTAACTTTATTAAAATGGCTCGCAACGTGTTGTGTTACGTTGCGTTGCGTTGCGCCGCGTGTCCTTGCCGCAGGACAACACCCAAAAGTAGACAACAACAACAACAGAAACGAAAAAAAAAACAACAATCTTTATGGCCAACTGCAGCTCTCGACATGGTCTGGTTGAGCGTCTGCAACGTGTGGCGTTCGTTTAGTTTCTGTTTCCGCTTCTGTTTCCGTTTCGAGGTCGAGTTAAGCGTCTGCGGCTGACTCCTGGATTTAAAATGCATGAGCATTGGTCAACATGGGCCACAGCAGCCGCTATTCAATTTGACCAGGGCTGGGCGCAACTTAAAGCTAATTAGAATGCCTCGCCCAGTGCCAGTTCTCAGTATGTGGATACCGCAAAGGTAACATTTAGCCAGCTAAAAATTACGACTGGCAGCTCCCACTGGCTGGGGACCTGGCCAGAGCGTGTGTGGCAAATTGCGCCGGCTTGCCCAATGAACTAATTGAAATGACACCAAAAAAGGGAAAAGAAAAAAAAAAAATGAAGGAAACTAGCGCGAACAATAGTATTTCACACCATCAACACTTACGTAGGTTTCACACGGCGTATGCGTGATGCGGCAGCTGCGTGCCTTAATGGGCAATTCCTTGGAGGGCGGCAGCGTTGCACCCCAGCGACCAGAGTGAAGCAACATTTGCCAGCTATATAAGGTGAGCCGCTGCCTGGCGCTTGCCTGACTTTGTTAACGTACTCGGACTCGGTCATGTCGTCGAATAGCACTCAGCCACAGACGCCCATCACTGGCCTGGAGGTGCCCCGGGCACCGCATGCCGGAATGCTGGCCACATCCAGCCAGTGGAAGCGCGCCGCCTTGATGGCCAAATCGGCCTCGGCTTGCCGCGAGACCAACTCAGACGACAGCGAAGATGAGGTGGATACCAAGCGACAGATCAAATACGGCAGCGGCTTCCAAGCGGCCAAGGCAATCATCCATGAGTACTGTGATTACAGTACGATTCACGGCATCCGGTATCTGGGCGAGAAGAAGCGGCCCTGGCTGGAGCGTCTGTTCTGGGTCAGTGTCTTTCTGCTCTCGATCTTCACCTGCTTCAAGCTGACCATGAACATCTGGGACAAGTGGAACAACAATCCAGTCATTGTCAGTTTTGCCGAGAAGTCGACGCCCGTCTGGCAAATCCCGTTCCCCACCGTCACCGTCTGCCCGGAGACCAAGTCGCGTCAATCCGTATTCAATTTCACTAACGCCTATTGGCAAATTCGCGATTTCCGCGGTAATGTCACTGGAGTTAAAGATTTCAATGAACATGAGTGAGTATCTAGTAGAAGGAGTAACTGACTCGCTCGGAATGGCTCTGCGAATTTCCTGAAAAGAACCAAAACGCTTTCATCCCAGCGTTAGCTTAACAAAAACCTATCTGAACTCTTTACAGCTATTTGTTTTACGATGCTGTGAGTCAGGTGTGCGATCCACCTTTGCATGACATACCCGTCGGCGATGCACGACGCAAGGGCATTGAGATTATTGATACGCTGACCGAAGTCAAGCCCCTGTTTAATGACACATTTTTGGATTGCAAGTGGCGCAATTCGCCCACCAAGTGCAAGGAGATCTTTCACAAGGTCGTCACTGAGGATGGCGTCTGCTACAGCTTCAATGCGCTGAGTCCAGCCGAGATCTATCGCGCCGAGGGGTAAGTCAATTGAAGAGTTCGACCAAGTCCGTATCAATCGAAATCTTGGTCTGTGCAGCATCATACCGGACATTATATTTCGCGAGGAGAATCGCTTGACCACCGAGTGGACTGTGGAGGATGGCTATAGTCTAAGTGCCAATGAATCCACCTATCCACATCGTGTGCTGGGCCCTGGCGCCAAGGCGGGCTTGTACCTCTTTATGGGTGGCATTGAGGAGGATTTTGATGATATGTGCCGTGGTCCCGTGCAGGGTTTCAAGGTAGAGTATTCAGAGAGTCAACGGACTAGGCCTCTAGCTCTCTCCATCTCCCGGTTTAGATACTGCTGCACACGCCTGGCGAGGTGGCGCAGACATCGCGTCAATACTTTCGCATACCCTTCGACCAGGAGGTGCTCATTTCGATACGACCCAAGATTATCACCACCTCGGACGGCCTGAAGCACTACGAGCCGCACAGGCGACAGTGCTACTTCCAGAGAGAGCGTCGCCTGCGCTACTTCAACACCTACTCGCAGACCAACTGTGAGCTGGAGTGTCTGGCGAATTTCACGCTCTCGGAGTGCGGCTGTGTCAAGTTCTCTATGCCGCGTGAGTTTCCAATGGAACTCTTTGACTTGAGTTCGTTAGACTAATGCCGGGTATCCATGCTTTATCCCTCAGACAATGTAAATGTGCCCGTTTGTGGACTGGGTAACTTGACGTGCTACAACGAGGCTGAGGACAAGCTGCTGGTGCAGGAGTTCAACCAGAGCGTGGCCACCAAGGCCGACAATGTGCGTGGGCAAACGGACTGCAACTGTTTGCCCTCGTGCACCTCGATTGCGTATGAGGCGGAAATATCGCAGGCCGACTTCGACTATAAAACAGTTGCCAAGAAGGACAAATCGGAAGAAGACGATGAGGCGAAACGGCAGGGGTACGAATGGAACTCAAGCGCTTTAAGGTCATCTATCTGTGAACTCTCTTTCTCTTTCTCCCTCTCTCCCTCTCTTTATCGTTTAGCATGAAAATGTCGCGCGTTTCCATATTCTTCAAGGAGGCACAGTTTTTGACCTCACGCCGCTCCGAGCTCTACGGCACCACCGACTTTTTGGCCAATTGTGGCGGCCTGCTGGGCCTCTTCATGGGCGTATCCACATTGAGCATAGTGGAGCTGGTCTACTTCTGCACGGTGCGTTTGATATCCAATTTGCGTATGCGCCGCAAGACACGCAAGGAGCTCTCCCAGGCCGCCAACAAGGAGGCCTAAGCACGGACTGCTGCTTATCAATAACCCAGTGGCAATTCGTGATGGATGCTCTTCAGTTTCAGTATCACTCCATCTCTCCCTCTCTCTCTCTCTCTGTCTCTCTTTCGTTCTCTATGTCTGCGTGTGTGCAAACAATGGAAATAAATTTGTACTCTTAGCACAGTCAGCACTTGGAGTGGGTAACCGACTTGGGATATACATACATACATATGTATGTGCGTATGCATGCATGCAAACCCGCATGCTGCCAAAGTCAAACGTTGTGTGTGTGTGTGTGTGCATTTCAAATGGAATCAATTATTTTATTGTGTGATTTGCAGCTGCAATTCAATTCGATTGCCAAAAGTCAACAGACTCCGCAGCGATAGAGACAAGGCCTCATCTTTAGCCTTCGCATATGTTATGCAGAGACAGGTCTTTGATTTGCCAGCCAGCTAGACGCTAGAGATCCAGACAGCCCACGCACAGACATGTACATATCTATCTGTCTATCTAGATATGGGGGCGACGTCTCGTACCTTTAGCTATGCAAATAGCTCACAGCTTCGTTTGAGTTGTGTGCGTGCGGCTCTAATGGAAATCCAATTGAATTAAGTTAATAATGTTGGCAAATATTTAAACAATAGCAGCAATTTATGCACACACACACACACACACACATGCACGCACACACACTCAAACTATCATCTGCAATTGTCATTTAGTTTAATTCAATTTGCATGCACGATTCGCGGCCTTTATTAGCATATCATTGGCAACAGTTGTGCAACAGTTGTGTGTGCTGCCAGCTACGTGAGGCTCAGCTACTGAAATATGCATGCCACACACACACATACACACTCACATACACTTACATACACTCGCTTGCACGCTGAGTTCATTATGGCAACAAGTGTCGAAATGTGTCGAAATATTGCAAATAAAGTTGACACATTTGCATACCTAATAAAATTTTCCATGCACATGCGGAAAAGTTGTGAGAGTGCAACAATGGGGCGCAGCCTTTTGCATGCCACATGCAGCAGCAGGCATAAAAGTGTGGCATGTGTGCATGTGTGTGTGTGTGTGTGTGAGTGTGTGTGCATTTGGCACTTTCCACTTCAACGCGGCATTTCTGCATGCCAATTTTTATTCAGCGCACAAAAACAAAAGTTAAAATGAAATTTATGACAATTTTATATCGATGTCTGTCGTGGCTGTCTCCTGAGGTTTATCGATCACATATATGCATATATATTATAATATATATACTCGCAAATAAAAGCATGAGTGGCACTGAAGTATTATGGCTGGCTTGGCTGGGTTAAGTGAAAGCGCGACATTCTGTGTGCAGACTGGATGTTTCTTTATTTTTCCTGCACTTTAAATATAATCCAGAGAGCTTAAGTTAAGCCGGGTACGAATCGACTGTTATCGATTCAGCAATAATTATCCATAGGCATTTTTTAATGAGCTGCATTTACGTATGTGAAAATTGGGCTGTGGATATGGAGGACACCCCAAAATCGATAACAAGCGATTAATTTATATTGCAATAATAATTGATACGTTTTTGAATTAAGTATGAATAATTAAGTATGATAAATAAGATTACGAATTGCATAGATATGGAATACCCATAAGCACTTACCTTGGATTATTCAATTGCTATCGATAACTAGCACAGCCTTAGCTCTGTAAGCAAAAGAACAAAAATCGAAAAAAAAACGTTATATACTAATTGATAACAAGTTATCAATGACACCATTTTTACAATATCTATCCCTTTAATGAATCAAAATTTTTTAAATATGCTGACAATCAATAATAACTGCTAATAGTCGATTAATTGACTGCTATCGATAGTCAAGATCTAGCTGAGTTTTATATGACTACTCGTATTTATGTGCAGAGCCTCTACGAGAAACAATTAAATTATATCTTGAACATGCAGCTGTAACTTTTATGAAAGCTCACTTGAATATGAGTGTGTGCGTGTGTGTGTATGTGTTTTCATCCGTTTGTCGCATTGTCAGCTGAAATGTGCATAATGTGACATTGGCTATTAGCGACTGAAAGCAGCTCGTCAACTTTGGCCGAAGTCAGTAATCAATTTGCATTTAAAATCGTCAGACGGCAGCAGGCAGACGGCAATAAACAGAGAGCGAGAGAGAGGGAGAGGGAGTGAGAGAGTACAACTTTAGCATAACATGACATCTGACATTGGCAGCAACAGCAGCAGCAACAGCAACAACTACAAGAACAACAATAACAACGTCAACAACTTGACAGGCCAAAACTCCATAACAATATCAATAAAAAAGTTGTTTGCGCTTTTGTAGCAATTGCAAAAGAAATTGCAGCGAATTCGTAATTAAACTTTTGCACAATGCAACGTGCAGTTGTCCGCAGTGTCTGACTACAACAACAACAGCCAACAAAATACCTAGCAACAGTCAGTCAAGCAACAGCAGCAACAACAACTGAAACTGCAACAACATTGGGCAAAAGTTCGCTTCATTTGCTTGGCATAGCTTTAAATTTCCGGTTTCCGGTTTTAGGCGTTACCCCACACTGGCCAGGCGCTGTCGCGGCTGGTCGCCAATGGCGGCCATGTTTGTTTGTATTTAAGTCGGTTTCTGAGCAACATTTTGCGGCATGCAACAGCACGCGGCTGTCATGTCAGCGCGACTCTGGCTGCTAGTTAGATGGCTGTGGCTGACTGCTTAAGCGGAAATGACTTGAATGCTTTGCCAGGCACACACACAGACACACACACTCGCACACGTGTGTCACACGTGGCGTATGCGGAATTTCGCACTCGATTGCCAGGCGCACCTTTGGCTGTAGAAAGTTTCGTGTAACGCGATTAGCGGTTTGCATTTTGTTAGCAACTCCCAAATGCCGTTTGCATATGCAATAGACAAACAGCTGCAACAAACAAACAAACAACAACAACAACTGCAACAACTGCAACAAACAGTAATCGCTGGCTTCGCTTTCAGCCAAGTTTGAAAAGTCATTAAAAACTTTAAATGCGAATTTCGCAAATTTTGATTAAACTGCGCAGCTTGAAGATGTTGCGACAGAACAATTAATAAAATATGCATAGACCAAATTGGTTTCTTCCTTGTGGCAAATCAATGTTTATCGTGACATCAATTGCCAATTGACACACACTCACGCATACACACACACACACACACACATATCAATATATGCCGACATTGTCACGTAAACATGAAGCAAGGCATTTGTATGCAAACCGCGCACTAAATTAGATTCTTTTTTACTGCATTGGCATCGCCTGCTCCTGATGATGACAAGCAGGCATCCAACAGCATGCGGATGCGGATGCGAATGCGGTTATGGATATGCTTCGTTTCGTTGTCCTTGCAGCGACAGCAGCGTGGACGATAAAATGCGTAAGCTCGTTAAAATTGCAGGCATCGCTCCTCTTATAATACGAATAATGATCGAATGATAGACCAAGCGAGGGCATTGCCAGTCGACCTCTCCTTCCCCTCTCTCTCTCTCTCTCATCTCAGCGTGCTGCGTAATGCATAGCGAAATATTTGATTTCAGTCTTCGGTAGGTTAGCGTATCAATGGGGGGTTCATTGGGTCGGCACATAAAATGTTGATGCGCGTGTGAAATGTCTGTTGAATGAGGTCTTAACGCAAAGTCTGTGGCCTCTTAAACTTATATTCCATTGCGTGAGACATGTAAATTTTGATGTTCACGCCAGTTTCGCTAATGGGAAAACTACATACATATGCATATGTTTGTGTTTATTTGTCTAACGTGCTGTTCTACATGTTGTTGAGAATAACATTAACTGCGTACTTGTAGTCAAGGAATCTTGTATTAAAGTAGAGCCAAATCTTGAACAGTTTCAATAGGATATATTTACCATAGTGGCAGTCTGATAAAGGTTAAGTAATAATTTAAAAATTAAAATAAAATAATAAAATATATTAAAAAATATATTCAATAAAATAATTTTATGTATATTTAATTAAATTTTTTTTTATAATAAGAGTTTGTCAGACTAAACATTCAAGTGCGATATCATAGCTCATTCCACTTAAATTTGATTATGATCTCTTAACGAACACAGGAGTTCTCAGGCATCGACCTCATATATATGTATAGAAATATATATATATATTTTTTTAAGTATTTGAGGAATAGATTCTGATCCCAGATATATAGACAGTTCTATATATAAGACATTTTGTCATTTGAAGTCAGTTATAAATATTTATGACTTATACTATATACCATATAATTTTCTTGATTTTCATTTTCTACTTTCTATTTAGTTATATACTTAAATACTTATAATTTCTCGTTTCCTTTATTTTTCACACAGACGGTCCCATTCATAGATCTCATTACAAATCATATTTAAATATTTATAATTTCTCTATATAGAAACGTTGAAACCGAATGAAATCCCGCCTTTGTTGAGAATATAATCTAAAGCCAACAACAGCAGAAACTGTTTGCTGCCGCAAGTGCGACTCATTCCACATTGTTTATCCGCATCTTTACGAGAGCTGCGTTCTGTTGGCCCAGTGAACATAAATTAAATACACTCACATACAGACTCGGACTCGGATACTCGTACTTATTATGCATTACCTAATGAAAAGTGGGTGGATGCCGGGTGGCAGCAGCAGCAGGAACTCTCAGGAGGCGTGGCGAGGCGAGGCGAGGCGCAAGCAAATAATAAATAAATAAATAAACGAAAAGCGCAAATAACATTTGAGCGCCAGATTTAATTTCTAACGTTGAGTGCGCATATTAAAACAGGCAGCCAGGACGTGAAAGCCAACAACAATGTGAGCTGTTGGCTGAGAGGGGCGGGGCGGGGCGGGGCAGCAAACAAAGATGATGCGGATATCACTGCGTCTGCTGCCAGGAGGAAGTGCAGCGGAAATGCGGGTCGAAGACCAAAAAGAAACAATAAAACCAACAGAGAGACAGAGAGAGAGGGGGGCAGTGTGAAAGAGATAGCAGAAGTGAGAAAGCCGGCAAATGTTGGCAAATTAAACACGCCAAGTGTTGGGCGTGGCGGAAGGCGTAATAGAAGTTAGCGCGGGTAAACAATGAATTACGGAATCATGAAAGCAAATTGACTTTAATGCAAAAATCAAATATTTACACAGCGCGAGAAAAACTGAGCGGCAATGCAATTGCAATGCAAGAGCGAAAAGAAACCAGAGGGAGGGAGGGAGGAGGGAGGAGCCAACAGATATACAGACGCAGATAAAAGACAAACAAAATACAAACAAAGGCAACACACACACAAACAAATTGAGGTTATGTTAGACGTTGCTCTGGCCCTAAAAACTCGTTTCAGCACTTAAATGCCAATGCAAACACACACACACACACACACACACACAGAGAGTGGGAGAGAGAGAGGGAGAAGGAGAGCTTGTCTGAGCTTAGATGTAACTGGGCATTGGGTTGGGTTTTTGGGGGTCTGTGGCATATCCGGTTTTTGAGTGTACGTTATTAGCCCTTCGGCCGGCTGGCTGGCTGTCCGGCGTGTCTGCATTTTACGATTTCATTCATTTTTGTGGCTGCCATTCGACGCCGCAAAATATGCAACAAAATTTTATTTCCAGCTTCGCACACTAGAGCCGAAATAAAAATAAAAACTATTATCTAATGTTCCGCAAAGCGCCGCTTGGCGAATGGCAAATGGCGAATGTCCAGCATTCATTTTCATCCAGCAGCTTTATGGAAATTTTTCAATTTCTCTAAGAATTTTCCAATTAGAAAACAAGCAACGGTCATTACTCCAGCTGCCATTTGCCAACCCAAAATACCCGGAACAAAAAAAGAAAGCGAGAGTCTATAAAAAATGGATGATATCTAGTGGATACATGAGCACAAATCTGAAAACCATAAAAGTGTCGCCCCAAAAACCCAAAGCGACAAAGCGACAACCGACAATCGAGAATCGAGAATCGAGAAGCCAACAAGTGAAATTGAAACATTGCACGGATACAAATTGATGATGAAGTGTCCTCCGAGTCCTGCGGGATTTTTTGTTCGACTCTTTATGGCTCCACAGAGGGCATGGCGAATATGTGAATTGCCTTGCGTTGTGGTCAATGTGATTGGATGGGCAAATGCACTGAGATGCCCTTTTGGATGACCTACAATGGTTCTCTCTCTCTCTATATATATGGAAAGTTCATGGATAATTTATAGCGTATGGCAAATGCGAATGGTAGATAATTATTGAGTTTTATTAATAGACACATTTTATGAATATTGATTTCTAAGTCTATGATAAAAGAGTTGAGTATTTATGAATATATATAGATGTGGAGAATGTTGATAGTGAATGGAAAATATGTAGTAATTAACTAAGTCTTTATGCATAATTTGGAAAAACCTTTTTAATGCTCATCTTAAATATGTTGAATATAAGAAATATATAAGTATTTATTATAAAATTTCAATGACAACTTTTAGTGAGGCACAATTTTTAATTCTTCAATATTATTGATAAATAATACATATTTATTTATATTAAAATATATATTAAATATACATATTAATCAATAAAAAATATTTTTTAAAAATATTTATGATTAAAAAATAGATATATAAATATTGTATAAAATTCTTTTTATGTAAAATAATACGTAAAAAAA